ATTTCACACGATCAATATATAAAGTGAACAATGCACCATAATCGTCAGCAAAAAAGGAAAGAAATGCTGCGAAGAAGAAGGGTTGGTCGTCATTAGGGGAGGAAATGAACTTGCACCGTCCATCACCACAAGATGGGCAAGATGCACTAATAAATAAGAGGAAAAGCATAATAATGCAACGAAACAATAATGATACATTAAGTTCCCGTTTGGTAGAGATTAAAATTCAAATTTTAATTAAAATTAAAATTAACGGCTAATTTTAACTTATGAGACCTATAACATTTCAATCACAAGTTTCATTAACTTTTATCAAAATTTACTAAAAAATTAATTTTAATTCCCATCAAACAGGGACTAATTGTTACAGTAATCAAAAGTTGAGGATTTTTTCATTACAATTAAATTTTGGTACATATAAAAATCGACGCCAGATTATAAAAATCGGCCGACCTGTTTGGAAATCGGACCCAATTATATGTTAAAAATCGGATTTAACAAAATCGTTGAAAAACCACTAACCGACCGGTTAAACCGTTAACCCATGAACCAATGCCGATTTTCCTAGTTGACCCATGCACTAAAGTGAAGCCTGAAATGAAGCTTGCATTGCCAATCGCTTTTATTGATGGTACCCTTCCGACGTGGGATATTTTCCAAATGCTTGCACGTTGATTTTCAATTTTAATTTGATTTTGAACCCAACAGTAAGTAGAAATTTTCACCTCAAACTTTTTATCTATTCAATTTTTAAATTTAACCTTAAATTCACTTTATTATTAGCTCATGTGATTTCAATTTTAACAAAGCAAATTATTTCAATATATTGATTTTTAGTTCTTGAAGCATCGAGACTAATAGTACAATAATAAATATAATTAGCCAAAATAGATTTGCATTTACTTTGAATTAGTAGTACGGAAATTTTAAAAAATATTGTTGTTATATTATTTTTATTATTTTGTGTGTATTTGTTTATTTCATTCGGTTTGACCTCAGTCAAGCCTATTGACCCTCGACCTTGATCTAATTTCGATAGATGTTCCGGTCGATTTTCAAAATGTTTGTAAAAATAATCATTTCTCACCTAAAAATTAACAAAATACTTATTTTGTTATTATTAAATGGTTAATTTCACTAATAACCACTGAATATTACACTTAGTGTCACATTGACCACTAAATTAAATTTGTTACGGCTCATCATTAAATTTTATATAAAAATAA